ACTGTCCTAAAGTTAGTCCAAAACAGGTGGAGGGTTTATAAAGCTGTCCTAAAGTTAGTCAAAAACAGGTATAGGTTTTATAAAGCTGTCCTAAAGTTAGTCCAAAACAGGTGGAGGGTTTATAAAACTGTCCTAAAGTTGGTCCAAAACAGGTGGAGCGTTTATAAAGCTGTCCTAAAGTTAGTCCAAAACAGGTATAGGGTTTATAAAGCTGTCCTAAAGTTATTCCAAAACAGGTGGAGGGTTTATAAAGGTCTGCATCTCTAGTAAATCTGATTTGTTGCTCCAGGACTGACCTGAGAACAGCTGGTACTTATTAAAACTTCAATTATACATTTAGAAAACATGAAAGAGTTAATCATTTTCAAATGTTATTAGACAGTAAAATCAAGAAAGTCTGCAGTTTAAATTCTCGCAGAAAACAAAATACACAATAAAAACAATTATTTGTAGAAATGAGCTGGATTTAACTACTTTAACACAGTGTAATATAAATTACAATATTTGTCTTATTTTCTCTAATAAGTTATTTTTATGCAGATTTTTACATTTTAAACTTGAATAAATTAGTTTAATTTGAGCTCATCTTAATACTTCGAATAGCTCAAAAATGACTGCACTTTTAAGTTATTTTTAGTTCATCAAATATTAACTCTTGGAATTATTCAGCTTTAATAATTAAGTTCAAAGCATTAACATACAAGCAGTCACATACATTTGAACTAGTTTGTAAATTATTCTTACTAAATGTTGCTATATCTGCAATACAAAATAATAAAAACAGCTTCTGTTATCAACTACCACCATGAAATGATGACAGAATGGTGATCATGGAATGATGTGTTTGTCTGTTAGCAAAATATCTCATGTAGGCAACTAGATTCAAGATGGCTGCCACAGCTATTTGTCTTTAGCCACAAAAGGGCGATAATGTTGACAGTTTTACAGATATTGAGCTAAAACGTGTGTAGAGGCTGATCGTTATCCCCAACACAGACTCCAGCTGCTAACAGACTGAGTGAGATCTTTGGATCAAATGTTGATCCAGTCTGTTTGTCTGTTAGCAAAATATCTCATGAACCAGTGGGCAGTTTTTAATGAAATTTGGACAAAGTAATCACTGGGTGTACATCTGAAATTATTTACCTTTTGGGGTCAACCTGAGTCAAGATGGCCACCACGGCTAACCAACTTTAACAAACACGAACATGGCTGTAATGAAGTTGTTTTTACCGATTTTAAGAAAAAGTCTTTTGTGTTCATAGCGGAGAGTTCTACCAAACCCATTCTCCAAGCGCCGTCAGTCTGTGCGAGATCTTTGTTCAAATCTTTGATTTGCGAGGCGGCAGTCGATACGGTTCCCTCAAGGAATGCCGGGTTTCACTTCCAGGGAAAGGATTCGCTCAGTTTTTCTAAAGCGAGGGAAAAGTCTCAGATCACCTTTATTTAAAAGTGTAAACAAAGCAAAGATGAAAACCTATAAACACGACAGAAAACTGCTGCGAACCTTCAGTTTTGTGTTTTTATTGTATTTAACTCGGGGTCCTAACTCCCGAACCTCGTCTCTGCGTTTTGTCTCCTCAGGTGACTCTGGAGAAGGTGCTGGGCGTCACCGCGACGGGAAACAGCGGACTGGCCTGCGACCCCCGGTCTGGACTGGTGGCTTATCCTGCAGGGTACGACGGGCATTATCTGAGCATCTGCCCTTTGACCTATCAGCACATGCTCCTTTATCATCCTTTATCTGAGCATGTGGTTTTTATCTGTGCTCCATCTCGGGGGCGGTGGGCCCCACAGAGACTCCCGTCTTATGTGCTCCTTTCTGAGATCTACTGGGCCTCAGGTTCTTGGGGTTAAGCAGAACAGAGCCGAGATGAAAAGAGCTGGAGCTGCTTTAGCTCATGTTGGGATTTTATTTTAGAGGGAAGTATCTGAGTGTGGAGGTGCCGCCTCTTCTGTGCTCGAGTACGCGCAGTGCTTGTGTCCGGTTGTGATTGACAGCTTGAGCAACCTCGTTAAACTGTGCTCGAGTCGCCCGACCCACCTGCGGCCCCAGTTTAAATCTGCACGAGCGTTAGGAATGCTTTTTCCTGGCTGGGAGATTGAGAACGAGCTGTTGAATAACAAGAGGACTAAAACTGTTGACCCAACAGGAAATGAGATTTAGAAAACCATAAAGGAATAAAAGGGTAATTGATTTAGGCGACAAAAATAAATTTACATGTTCTTTTTTTTTTTTTTTTTGGACAAGTTATTATTAAAACTATAAGCTTAAGTTGATAAAAATAATAAAAAGAGTCAATAAGTTTGACCTCGTATCGATGAATAAATCTTAACTTTGTATGAGAGAAGATAAAAACCAGACATTTGTCAACAATTTACAAAGATCTGGAAACAATTTGACTGTTTTACAAATCGGATTTTTGATATTCTTGGTCAAAAACGAATAAATTGTGTTCATCAACCCATTCAAAACTACAAAACAAAAGACGTGTTTTATTTTGAAATCTGCAATATTAGAATAGTTCATTTGAATAGAGCAGCCTTTTGTAGCTCACACTGCGGTTGTTTGATATGGAGAACACTTGGACTCTTTTTCTGCTTTTAGTATATGTCTTTTAAAGTAAATTAAAGAATGTAAACATGTTTCTTTTCTAGTACCGAAGTACTTTATTAACAAATAAAAGATTGCCATTAAATCCTGAAATCCAAAATTAGACCCACCTCGATTCTAAACTTGGCACAAATGGTAGGGAAGCTAGTGTTTGGTTGAACCAGTAGGCAACCAGTGACAAGCCCATACCTCTACAGTCTGAACCTTATCCTGAGATGAAAACGCTCGCTCCACATTGGGAGTCTGCCTTCAGTTCTTACCAGAACCCCACTGAACTCCTGTGGGATCGTCTCAGATGAGCCGTTTATTCCAGAGTGACCAACAAAACCTCGTTGGCCATCCCACAGTAGAGTGCGACAAAGCTGGTGAGCAGCACAAGGAGGCTGTTGTGGCTGTGTATGGGTCTTCCACATGCTACTATTTATTTAACCTTTATACAAGTACCGTATCGGTAGTCTCATTGAGTCATGAGAACTCATTTTCAAGAGAGACAAGTTTTAGACAGACAACGTATAGAGTACAGACAACAATATACAACAATAAAAAGCAATCAAATTAATGTTATAAAATCACTGTTACTGTTAGCAGCATTGCCCTGGTAGTTGAGTGGTTCTGTTAGAAGTGAGGTTCTCTTAGCAGCCTGGTCCTGTTAGCAGTGTGGTCCTGTTAGCAGCATGGTTCTGTTAGCAGCATGGTCCTGTTAGCAGAGTGGTCCTGTTAGCAGTGAGGTTCACTTAGCAGCCTGGTCCTGTTAGCAGTGTGGTCCTGTTAGCAACATGGTCCTGTTAGCAGTGTGTGACTGTTGGCAGTGTGGTCCTGTTAGCAGAGTAGTTTTATTAGCAGTGAGGTTCTGTTAGCAGCACAGTCCTGTTAGCAATGTGGTCCTGTTAGCAGCATGGTCCTGTTAGCAGAGTGATTCTGTTAGCAGTGGGGTTCTCTTAGCAGCATGGTCTTGTTAGCAGCGTGTGGCTCTTGGCAGCATGGTCCTGTTAGCAGCATGGTCCTGTTAGCAGCGTGGTCCTGTTAGTAGCATGGTTCTGTTAGCAGCATGCGGCTCTTGGCAGTATGGTCCTGTTAGCAGAGTGATTTTGTTAGCATTGAGGTTCTCTTAGCAGCATGGTCCTGTTAGCAGCATGTTCCTGGTGGCAGCGTGGTCCTGTTAGCGGCATGTGGCTGTTGGCGGCCTTGTTCTGTTAGCAGAGTGATTCTGTTAGCAGTGAGGTCCTGTTAGCAGCGTCATCCTGTTAGCAGCACGGTACTGTTGTACATGCAAATCTTGCAATTTATCCAGTTTTAAAGATTTAAAGGAAATAAAATGAGGTTTTGTTCATGAGACACAGACCGAAGATAAAAATGAAATCAAAAAATAAAATCATCCATTTCAGTAAATGACACCAGACTTGGCTGTTTGGCTTTGGCAGAGAAGATCTGGCACGTTTTTAATGGGTGCAACCCACAGACATAACTCTGCTGCTCGACCCACAAATACACTTGGCGTCCAAATATTTTAGAAATAAACCGGCTTTCCAACAGTGTCTGATTTAATGCCAAGAAGCATCGTTACAACAAAGAAATGATCAGCCAAACAAATTGTCTTACTTTTTGTTCTAAGGTTAGATTTATCCAAAAGTGTGAAAGAGAAATGGTGTTAGAGAAAATGAGCCAACATTTATTCACTTAAAAAATGCATTCTTCTTTTTTCCACCTAACCACGAACACACGAGTAGCTGTTTCACGACGTTGTCTTGTTTCCTGACCCTGCTGTAGGTGTGTGGTGGTCCTCCTGAACACCAGAAAGAACAAGCAGAGGCACATTATCAACACTTCCGGGTGAGTCGGACACAAACACACGGTCTGTCAAATACATGTGGCGCTGACATCTCTTGTCTCGTCGGCAGTAAAACCATCACAGCTCTGTCCTTTTCCCCTGATGGAAAATACCTGGTGACCGGAGAGGTCAGTGGCTTTTTGCTCTCACTCCTTTCGGCTGTTTTTGTATTTTAAATTTCTAACAAGCACCACTGTACACAAAGTGTTAAAGGGTTAGTTCAGATGTTTTGAAGTGGGGATCTAGACCACACTTCCAAAACTGAGGTCAGAGACGTCGATAGCACAGATCCCTATCTCACAAGGTCTGAGCTGTCACTGGAACGTGCCACAGTCATGCAGTATGATAGAAGTGATCTGGACTCTGTTTGGGATCGTCCACATGTGTTGTGTCACTAACGAGCGTCTTGATCCCACTTTGTTGTGGTTACAGCACGGGGCGCTGCACGACCAAACACCTTAATCCGCCCCGCCGATCAAAGCCGATTAAAGACTTGTCGGCCCGAGTGGCGTGGCACCCGGCCAGTTGCCATGACAGCAGAGATCAAAGTTTAAACCACAGCGACCATGAAGAATAGGCTGGTTTTGGCGCCTCCAGCTAAGCAGCTCTTTGAGTCGGGATCACATTTCTCCTGCGAAACATTAGGTTTAAAAATAATAATCACGCATGTTCTGTGATCAGCAGTTTTCTGACGCGCCGTTTTTGCAGCTCCTCTGAGATTTAATTTAAAACGATGCAGATAACCCTGAGTGACTTATCTGACGTCCCTCACTCACTCATCAGACGGGGGCTGATTTGCATACAATGGGAAGACGACGAGCTATCACGTCTTTTTTTGTTTGTTTCTGCCTCCATGTGCAGCCGGATGCGGTCCGGATTCAGTCTCCTTCAGACCATCTGTCCACAAGTTCATTGACTTCATGCACAAACGGCTCGCTCACTCTATAGGAGGTTATAGTGAGACAGGTTGTGGGACAGGTGAGGGGACAGGGAAGATTAGAAGACAAGTGATGCAGACTGGGGAATAAAAGACAGAGTGGAGGAAAACACGTTTTCATGATATTGTCCTCCCAGTTCACCTGGTCTCCCCCTTTGTTCGCCTCAGTGCGGTCACCTTCCAGCCGTGAGACTGTGGGACGTCGCAGAGCAACGTCAGGTGGCCGAGCTTCAGAAGCACAAGTACGGCGTCTCCTGCGTGGCTTTTTCTCCCAACAACAAGTACATCGTCAGCGTGGGGAACCAGTATGACATGATGGTGAACGTCTGGGCATGGAAGGTTTGTCGCTCCAGAAATCTGAGTGTTCTGGTCTATATGAAATGCTTGTAATGTGATTAAATCAGGCAGCAATTCCATCTATGCTGAATTATTTTTAGGTTTTTACATATTTAGATAAGTGAGCAAGTGTAGGGAAAGATTCACACTCCGTCTTAGTTTAGTAGTTTTTATTGACAGTCACAAACACGCTTGTGGGCTGAAATTATTTAAAATAAAGAGAGCCAAATGGTTGTATTTTAAAATTATTTTTAGTATGCATAAATAGTAAACATTTCAGCTTAAATTAAAATGTAAAATGTATCGATATCTTTAGTTTTAAGATGATAAACACGTAAATTCGGTCGAAATGAGCCAGTAAACATGTCTAATTTAGAGTCTTTTTAAAAGTTAAAAATACGTAAAAAGAAAAATTCAAGTAAAGTAATAAAAAACGATAAAATCAGACGTTCTGAACACGTTCAGTGTTTGTTTTTACAAAAAGCACCTTTCAGTTTTATCCTTAAATGTACAGAAACCAGAATCATAGCAGCTTTTTTCAACTTTTACTTAATTATGTGAATGTTTACGAAGCACTCACTCTATTGTGATCTGTTTTACTTCCATACATTTTTCAGCATCTTTCTCGTTCCACAATTTTTTGTCATTTCAACAAATCATAAATCAAAACGTTCAGCTCTTTCAGGACAATCCTGCTATGACTTTTGGTACTGGTGCAACTTTAGCCTTTTGAAATATTTAAAATGAATTGAGCTCATTTTACATCCTTCACATCTTTAGATCCGTTTACAACTTTTACTGCTCCTTTCACTTTTTGTTCTGGTTCAGCTTCTTTCAGCTTCCTTGTGCAAATTTAAACATGTTTCAGCTACTTTTAGCTGTTTTGTGCTCCTTTCAGATCCTTTCTGCTAACTACAACATTTTGTGCTTCTTCTAACTTCCATCTACTAATTTTAGCTTGTTATGCTCCTTTCAGCTTATTTCTGCCAGTTTCAGCTTTTTCTGCTATTTCAGCTACTAGTAGCTGTTTTTATGCTAATTTTAGCTTTTTCAACTAATTCCACTTTTGTTGCATTCAATACCTTTTTCAGCCTAATTCAGCAAAAATGTTCTCTCTCCATTTTCTTAGTGTAATTTAACCTTCTTTCTACTTTTTAGCTACTTTTCAGCTGTTTTATGCTAATTTCAGCTTTTTCAGATAATTTCCATTTTTTTGTTCTCATTTCTGCTTCTTTTAGCCTAATTGGGCAAAAATGTTTTTTCTGCTTTCTTCTACTAACTCAATCTTGCTCTAACTTTTCAGCTAGCTTTTAGCATGTTTTAGCTAATTTCAGCTGTTTTCAAAGAAATTCATGTTTTTCATGGTCGTTTTTGCTACTTTCAGCCTAATTAAATTATTTCTTATAATTTCAACTTGTTATGCTCCTTTCAGTTATTTCAGCTACTATTTAGTTATTTTATGCTAACATTAGCTTTTTCAGCTAATGCCACATTTTTTGCACTCATTTCAACTTTTGTGTTCTTTCTGCTTTCTTCTGCTAATTTAAGCTTGTTATACATTTTCAGCTAGCTTTAGCATGTTTTAGGTAATTTCAGCTGTTTTCAAATAAATTAAAGTTTTTCATGGTTATTTCTGGTACTTTCAGCCTAATTACATTATTTTATTTCTGCTAATTTTAAATTGTTATGCTCCTTTCAGCTTATATTTCTGCTAGGTTCAGTTATTTCAGATATTATTTAGTTCTTTTATAGCTTTTTCAGCTAATACCACATTTTTTGCACTCATTTTAACATTTGTGTTCTTTCTACTTTCTCCTGCTGAAGTACGCTTGTTCTACATTTTAAACTATGTTTCAGCATGTGTTTTTTTTTTTTGGCTAATTTCAGTGGTTTTCAGCAAGTTCTTCTGCATTAAGCATTCACACTGCATTTTCACAGGAAATGCAATTTCTCTAGTTTCACTTTTTTTGCATTCTTAAATAAATGTTAAAGTTTCATTTCATGACTTTGTGCTGTTTTCCTGCAGAAAGATGTGGTCGTGGCAGCAAACAAGGTGTCCAGTAAGGTGACTGGCGTGTCTTTCTCCGAGGACAGCTCTTACTTCGTAACCGTTGGCAACAGACACGTCAGGTTCTGGTATCTGGACCAGTGCAAGGCCAACAAGGTAGTACCAGACCCAGGATCCTGTGTTTCTTGGTCATGGGTCCGACCCTAGTCCATCTGAGTCCTCACCAGCAGAGGAATATTTATTATGAAGCAGTTCAGGTGTTTTGTTTTAGGTTTGTCTGTAATTGTGTATTGGCTTATTTAACACCGTAGAAAAATAAAAATGTTGTAGTTACTCCCACCCCCGTGTGGTGTGTGCAGGCCAGCGCTCCGGTGCCTCTCCTAGGCCGCTCCGGGCTTCTCGGGGAGCTGAGGAACAACTTCTTCTGCGATGTGGCTTGTGGGCGGGGCTCCAATTCTGACACCACCTTCTGCATCACCTCCTCCGGCCTGCTGTGTGAGTTCAGCAGCAGGCGGGTGCTGGACAAGTGGGTGGACCTGAGGGTGAGACACGTCAACATGGACGAGACGTTTGGACTCTTAATGCTCGCTGCTGCTGAACCTGCCAAACGATCAAATCAGTACTTTATAAACTCAAATACTTCAGCTGGACAAGATGTTGCACCGCTAAAAAAACCTTTAGGAGTTGATGCTGCTATGGCTCAAATTTTGATTCAATCTTTTCTAAGAATCACCAGTTGTTGACAGCCACCTTGAATGCCAGGCTGTAGTATACTTGTTCTTCTGTTAGCAAAATATCTTTTGAACCACTGAATAGATTTTAATAAAACTCTTAGAAAGTAATACCCATACCATTTACCATACCATTTTATTTATAGAGCACTTAAAACAGCTACAAGGCCAATCAAAGTGCTGTACAGACAGAACAACAGACAACCCACGAAGCAATATACAAAATGAAGTAAATCAAAAATATGGACATAAAAACGATGCAGATAATAAATATGACGACAAACCAGTGTGGAGCGTACAGGTTCAAAACACAGATCCTCTGGTGTTGAAAGTTACTGAATAGTAGTGAGTTTTTAAACGGGATTTGAAAACTGAGAGGGAGGGGCCAGTCTGACAAGCAGAGGTAACTCGTTCCAAAGTCTTGGTCCTGCTACAGAGAAGACCCTGTAATAGTTTGGTTCATGTCTAGAACAGATTAATGTTTGGAGTCAACCTGATTCAAGAAGGCCGCCACAGCTAACAACACTTAGGAACCACAAAAATGACTAAAGCTAAGCCATTTTTTTTTCATTTACCCTTTATTTATACAGGTTAGTCTCATTGAGCCACGAGAACTCATTTTCAGGAGAGACCTGTTAAGGAGCAGATGGGGGTTAAGGGCCTTGCTCATGGGCCCAGAGTGGGGCGAATGAGGATGGGGGCAAGTGTGGGTGCTTCACCTATCCCACCCACACAATTTTTTTATGTTGTCGGGGCCGGGGCGTGAACCGGCGATCTTCGGATCACAGGCCCACCTTCTCTAACCTCTGCGCCACCACTCCCCCACTTCTATAGATATTGCACTAAATGTTGGTGTAGTAGTAGCTGAGCATCAACACAAAGAAGTTAGCAAAAGATATTTGTTATAAAACTTTAGCATTAAATTTCTAGAATCAGCCTTATTTGTCTGTTAGCAAAATATCTCATGAACCAGTAGGCAGATTTTAATGAACTTCTTTTAAAGTGATTATTGGACAGACGTCTACAACTGATTAACTTTAGGATTCAGTTTGTTTAAAGATCGCAGCCACAGCTAATTAACAATGGAAATCTTGAAAATGGTTATAACTCAGTCAGTTTGACAGATATTAAGGTGAAAATGAGGGTGGTAGTAGCTGAGCATCGTCTCTAACATACTTTGTTTCAGATTTCGAGGAGGTGATCAATATTCACCCCTTTAATCATTACGTTTATAAAAGAGTTGATCCTATTTATGGTTGTACATGTTCATATGATTACACACTGTAGACCAGAGGTGGGCCACTTTTAGTTTCCAAAGGGCCACATCAAGACATTTAAAACGATCAAAGTGCCGCATAGAGAAATGGAAAATTTATTTTCTTTATGACAAGTTATCTAGAAGACCCTGAAAAAGCTTTAGCTTGTAGTAGCATAGCTAGCATGCTTTATAAAAACATGTCTTTCCAATATCCTTCAGGAATATAAGGCATATTCTGTAAACTGGCTCTTGCAACATTATATTATACACGTTAGTGGAAATATGTAAAACAAACTTATTTATTTGTGTTTCTAAGTCTTTAAAGGTTCCGTGTAGTTCTGGCAACACAACTTAAAAAAATGCTTTTAAAAAAGTTTTGCGTGAGATGTTTAATTTAAATTTCCTTAAGTCTCATTGATAAATTGCTGTTTCTTTTATAAATCTTTTTTTTTTAAGTTGCTTTTTTTAAATAAGGATATGGGGGCCTGATGGAGATCGTCTAAGGGCCACTTTTGGCCCTCAGGCCGTTAGTTGCCCATATCTGCTTTAGACGTATTCACCATTACAAAATGTTTTAAAGAAAGTTGCAGTGTCAAGAAAATTTAGTCTCTGTGTAAAGATTCTTTACTGTCAGACTAATTTCATCTGCAGGAAGTTTAAGATGCACAAATTAGACGTTTTGTCGTTTCCTAAGAGGCCTCATTAACGCCGGGAGACACACAACGCTCGTTGATTATTGCTAAAACGCAAATTTTCTGCTTTGTAAATAATTAAAGGACATGTTTCCCTGACTTCATCCACGGAAGGAGCCTCATTAAAAAAACAACTTCTCTATGCACTAATAACAAACACAAATTTAGAAAATAAACTCTTAATAATGGTTTCTTACTTGTAGAACATGTTTATTAAGAATTAGACAAATTAGAAATTATTTTGCTACTAATATACACATTAGCACTTATTAATAATACTTAATAATAATAATACTTTATTTGTATAGCACCTTTCAAACAAATGTTACAAAGTGCTTCACATTAATCAATGAAAACATCATAAATGACATCAGAAACACAAAAGTATAGCAAATCAATAAAAATAACAACACAAGTCCCTTATTGGTGTTTTATGGTCTATAAAGTTTTACTGGAAGCTTCTCCGTCAGATTATTTTTCATGCCATAGGAGTGTTATGACGTTATAATCTATGCAGTAAACTAATATTCCTGTTGTTTCGTGTTTGTCAGACCACCGTGGCTCAGACCCTGACTCTGTCTGAAGAGCTGATCTTCTGTGGCTGCGCTGACGGGATGGTGCGAGTCTTATGGGCCGCCGACCTGCACTTTGTATGCGCGCTGCCACGACCGCACCCCCTCGGCTCAGACGTCTCCGCCATGACGGACGCCAGGTGAGGAAGAGATCAAGAGTGGCCCAGCCGTTCTGTTTATAGAACTTCCTGTCTCGAATGGCATCGATCCTCGTCACGAAATGCTCCTTCATTTCTTCTCTCTGCGCAGCCATCTTTTCAACACCAAGGCAGACGCTTGCTACGCAGACGTCATCGCCCTTCAGTACGACCCTGCCAGTCGCTGGCTCAGCTGTGTGTACAACGACCACAGCCTGTATGTGTGGGATGTTAGAGAGGTGCGCCGGGTAAAGAAGGTGACCTCTGCCCTCTTCCATGCTGCCTGTGTTTGGGATCTAGAGGTAAACACTCGAAGGAGATCCGGATTGTGTAACAGCTGCAACACCAGCAGCGCTCTTTGTTTAGCCCTGGGTTCAGTAAATAACGATTAACTGCAATATCTTAATCAATCATGATGGAATGATCAGGGTATTGATTAGTGGAAAACTGGGGGATGAGTTTTGGGACTGAGGTGCTTTGGGTCAAACCGCTCCGGGGGTTAAAATAAACATTTTAATGTTTTAAAGCTACATATTTTGGGTGGTTGGGTCCATGTACGATCATATTAGTGCAGGCAGGTCAACGATTTAAAGAGGATTAATTAACTTTGGGAGTGAATTGAGGTGTTTCAGCAGAATTTGATAGTTTCTCAGAGATTAGTGGAGTCAGCAGAGATTTAAGACGCTTGAAAACAAATCAGGTGTTGGCCCCAGTCCGAAGATTTTAGCAGGCAAAGGAACGAGTATCTCAAAAGGAGATATCTTAGGATAAGTGTTAAAGCAGACTTTTTGGTGACGTGATGGAGTTGAACCTACTTTTTTTTAGTTTTCTGAGTCCCAGCCACATGACAGTAACCCCCCCCCCCCCCCCCCCCCCCAGGCAGAGGATGCTGAGGAAACTGCTCCAGATCCTGAACAACACGTCACACCCCCTGCATGATGCACTGGACTCTTACTGCAGCACCTTCAGTCCTAGACTGAGACCACCGAGGTGCTCCACAGAACAACACAGGAAGTCCTTCAAACTTTTCAACTCCTCCCCCTTTCTGCACATAGGACAATAAAAATCCTGCACTACAATAAACACTTTAATGTGTTCACATTAAAACATTTCAGGCATGTCTGCACCTGCACCTGTTTAGATCTTAATTGCTGGTATTTTTATATTCTCTGTTCTTTTTTTATGTGTGATTCCTTGTGTATGTCCCTTTGTACCGAAACTCTGGCACAACAATTTTCTGCGGGATCAATAAAGTTCTTTCTTATCTTATCTTATTCGGATATATCCTGGTGCATGATGGAACAATCTGGGACACTGACAGGAAGTCACAGACAAAGTCAGGATTGAGTATGTGGCAACGTGGAATTCATGAACGCCCCTGAACCCTTCAACCTTCCCAGTACACCAGATCATGATAATCACCCAGTGGTTAGCAGACAGAGTAGACCAGTTCCTGATCCACCATCCTCAACAGGATCATACAAAATAAAACAGGAAGTAAAAGCTGATTGAACAGAAGGGATACATCAAGAAATCCCGAAACAAAACAGAACTTAGACCTGAAAAACGAACACCTGTGCTGTATGTAGTATTTTGTTATTACGACGTGAAAGGTTTTCAGTCATTGATCGGTTCACAAAGGCTAAGTTTTTGTTGCACGTTGCTAATGCACCAACTTTACAGGGGTAGCTAATTGGTTTGATCAAGTTATTTTACACTTCAGCACGAGTTTGAATATACTGTTTTTGCAAATCTACTGTGTTGCAGTTGTTTTTAGCTTTCTGTGCTGAAACTTTACGTTCTACAGTATAAAGAGCTTGAACTATGAATATTCTGTTTACTTTAAGACTTTTTCAGATCAGCTCATAGACAGGAACAAAATGATCATTATAAGTCCCAGCTACTCACCCTGATCAAACCTGCATCCCATCAACCTTTCATTCTTCTCCAGATGTTTCCAGACGTTCCTGTAGAATCTGCTGCCGGTCTGTCATCAGGCGCGTTCCTCACCTGTTCAGCCGACAACACCATAAGGATGTGGCACATGGAGGACTCAACCCAAACCCGTGTTGGGTGTCAGAACATTCTCAGCCATGTGAGTTTGGCTTCAGGCCCCAGATATTTACCTTCAAACAGACACATGCTGACTCTTTCGGTGCAAACTCTGTTTTTGAATTACAGGTGCTGGTCATAAAATTAAAATATCATGAAAAGTTTATTTTAGTAATTCCATTCAAAAAGTGAAACTTGTATATCATATTCATTCATTACACACAGACTGATATATTTCAAATGTTTATTTATTTTAATGTTGATGATTATAACTGACAACTAATGAAAACCACAAATTTAGTATCTCAGAAAATTAGAATATTACTTAAGACCAAAAAAAAAAGATTTTTTAGAAATGTTGGCCAACTGAAAAGTATGAGCATGTACAGCATCAATATTTAGTTGTTGCTCCTTTTGCCTGGATTACTGCAGCAATGCAGCGTGGCATCAATCAGTCTGTGGCTCTGCTCAGGTGTTATGAGAGTCCATGTTACTCTGATAGTGGCCTTCAGCTCTTCTGAATTGTTGGATCTGGTGTATCGCATCTTCCTCTTCACAATACTCCATAGATTTTCTATGGGGTTAAGGTCAGACGAGTTTGCTGGCCAATTAAGAACAGGGATACCATGGTCCTTAAACCAGGTACTGGTAGCTTTGGCACTGTGTGCAGGTGCCAAGTCCTGTTGGAAAATGAAATCTCCATCTTCATAAAGTTGGTCACCAGCATGAAGTGCTCTAAAACTTCCTGGTAGACGGCTGCGTTGACCTTGAACCTCAGAAAACACAGTGTACCAACACCAGCAGATGATATGGCACCAAATCATCACTGACTGTGGAAACTTGACACTGGACCTCAAGCAACATGGATTATGTGCCTCTCCTCTCTTCCTCCAGACTCTGGGACCTTGATTTCCAAAGGAAATGCAAAATTGACTTTCATCAGAGAACATAATTTTGGACCACTCAGCAGCAGTCCCAGGCAAGATGCTTCTGACGCTGTCTCTTGTTCAAGAGTGGCTTGACACAAGGAATGCAACGGCTGAAATCCATGTCTTGCATACGTCTGAGCGTGGTGGTTGTTAAAGCACTAACTCTAGCTGCAGTCCACTCTTTGTGAATCTCCCCCACATTTTGGAATGGGTTTTGTTTCACAATCCTCTCCAGAGTGCAGTTATCCCTATTGTTTGTAAACTTTTTTCTACCACATCTTTTATTTCCCTTCACCCCTCTATTAATGGGCTTGGACACAGAGCTCTGTGAACAACCACCCTCTTTAGCAATGCCCTTTTGTGTGTTGCCCTCCTTGTGCAAGGTGTCAATGATCGTCTTTTGGACAACTGTCAAGTCAGCAGTCTTCCCCATGATTGTGTAGCCTACAGAACTAGACTGAGAGACCATTTAAAGGTCTTTGCAGGTGTTTTGAGTTAATTAGCTGATTAGAGTGGGGCACGGCAGCACGGTGGTGCAACTGGTAGAGCTGCTGCCTCTCAGTGAGCAGGTCCTTGGTTCAAACCCCAGTCCAGGGGCCTTTCTGGGTGGAGTTTGCATGTTCTCTCCGTGCATGCGTGGGTTTTCTCCAGGTACTCCGGTTTCCTCCCACAGACCAAAAACATGCATGTTAGGCTGATTGGTAACTCTAAATTGTCTCTGGGTGTGAGTGAGAGAGTGAATGGTTGTTTGTCTCGTTTGTCTCTATGTGGCCCTGTGATGAACTTGCGACCCGTCCAGGGTGTACCCCGCCCCTCGCACAGTGATTGCTGGACATGGGCACCAGCGACCCCCGTGACCCAAAATGGAACAAGTGGGTAAAGATAATGGATGGATGGAGTGTGGCACCAGGTGTCTTCAATATTGAACCTATTCACAATATTCTAATTTTCTGAGATACTGAATTTGGGTTTTTTATTAGTTGTCAGTTATAATCATCAACATTAAAGAAAACATTTGAAATATATCAGTCTGTGCGTAATGAATGAATATACAAGTTTCACTTTTTGAATGGAATTACTGAAATAAATCAACTTTTTCATGATATTCTAATTTTATGACCAGCACCTGTATTTCTGTGCCCATCCTTTGCTTTACAGGATCTTTTAAACATAATTTATGTTGATGGAAACACCAGCACCTTGTTGGATCCAGAATGTGCAACAAATGTGAATGCAGACAAGTCAGGAGATGTGCCGGCTGCAGAAATCAGGGGCAGCATCAGGACCGTCTGCGTCAGTCCAGATGGCAAACACCTGGCATCTGGAGATCGCAACGGGATGCTGAGGTAACGATCAAGGACTGAAGCAGGTACCGATGTCCGGCATGAGTGACTGTCTCTCTATAATGTGAATTAATCCTGTGCAGGGTTCATGACCTCAGCAGCATGAAGGAGATCCTGAAAGTTGAGGCTCACGATGCTGAAATCCTCTGTTTGGAATACAGCAAACCAGAAACAGGTCTGTGTGTGTCTGCTAGCTTTAATTTTAGCTCACTTAGCATTTAAATTGGATCCTCAGCTCCTATAGGTTGTCTTGGTGTTTTCAGGCCTGAAGCTGCTGGCCACAGCTAGCAGGGACCGTCTGATCCACGTCCTGAATGCAGACGACGACTACAGTCTGGTGCAGACACTCGATGAGCACTCTTCATCCATAACAGCCGTCCGCTTTGCTGGTGAGTCTCTTCAGATCCTTTAGTCCATGCTATTATGTTGTCTCAGTTCCACACAAAGTCCCACTTAGGTCTCCGCACAGCGATGCTTTTTCAGACAATTAATGGACATGATACACATACTCAGTTTGCTCATTGAAGGCTTTTCTCTCACCCTTCCATCTCTCATTTCTTTTTTCTTGTAGCTACTGTTTCCAATTTCTTACATAGTGTTGGGGAACAAATACAAGCTTGTCTACAGTTTTGTTTTTCAATACATTAAAGTATTTTTTCCCCTTTAGCTCATGAGAACAATGTGAAGATAATCAGCTGTGGTGCAGACAAGAGCATTTACTTCCGCACAGCACACAAGGTAACATCTGCAGCCCTTTAATTTGATCTGTTTTAGTAGAACATGCTGTAACCACACACAAATACACACAAGCAACAGGAATATATTTAGTCAGAAACAGCACTGAAGTATATGATTAACGGTTTAGTAAAAGAGTAGCAGAACTTTGTTCAGTGTAAAGGAAATAAAAGAGTAACTGTGAAAATCTGCCACATAGACAACAATGAGATTTTGGTAAACTGGTAAGAAATAAACGGTCTTCTGGAGTCTTTGCAGCTCAGATAGACTTCACAATAAAAACCATCTTTTATAGTTTAAACCGGTTACAGAAAGTTGGACTTTTGCTAATACTTTCATGCAACTTCACTCGCTGTGGCGACCTCTGCTGAACGGAGCAGCTGAAAGAAAAACAACAATTCTACATCAAAACGTAGGCATTTCAGTGTTTTCCCTACATTACTGACCTGGTGGTGGTGGTGGTGGGGGGGGGGGGGGGGGGAAAAACGTAAAAACACCGCGGGGTGTCGCTGTCTGTTCCGGTGGGATGTGGTGGGGGGGGGATATAAAAGGTGGGAGA